GCTATTCTTCTACTGCGGCTGCAGTTCATCAATATTTTACATGTTCCTATTTTTTTTGTTCCTTTAATTCGCTATCCTTCCTTTTTATATGATTTATCATTTGTGGCTTATGATTACTCCTCCTAATTGTTCCTATTGTTGAACTTGATAAACTGGTTGCTAAGCCACATCGATCAACTCCCCACTTGATCTATTGGTTCTCCGTTAATCATTTAATAAACATTACATCATGTAGATCATTCCTTCTCCTAAAAGTTTATCCTTTCCGGTTAATTTTATCCCATCATGTGACTTTCTATCGTTTGATCTTTTATTCCATATTATTCCTCCATATTATGCGATTACTCCAGTATCTATGGCTACAACGGTAATAAACATATGTATAGAAAACGTCTTACTGATTTTCAACTCAAGCAATCGAAATATCTCAAAGTTAAAGAAAAGCAGGAAACCCGATTCCTTCGAGCATGTAGACGAGTTTTTAAAACTAAAGAGCAAAATATTCCTGACCTTAATAGGCATAGGTTACGTGCAGCGCAACGATACCGTTTTTTGTATCTAAAATCTTAATACGTCAACAAACCAGTGAAACATTTAATATATAATCACAGTTTAGTCTCTGAGGACTATGGTTTTTGCACGCCTCACTACTACAAGACAGCAAATCGCGACGATTCCCGCGCTGGTCGATCCACTATTAAAGGATTCAACCGTCTTACTTCTATAACACCCCTTAGTAACCAACCTTGGGTTCGAGAATATGATCCTTATCCAGATATGTTTATTCCTCATAAATACAGGGACATCATCCCTAAAGATCCTCTTTATACGGATACAGGAGATTACATAACGCCTGGGTCTCGTTCATGGTTCACATATATGAGCAACCTTCATCGCAGGCTTTCTTCAGCTACAACTAGCCAAAAACGTAATTATTTGCTTCAATCGGCACAAGAACGCGAGAGAGAAACAAGAGAATTACTTCAAAAAGAACAAGCGATCAAAGCTGAAGCCCGATTTCATGGCACCAGTGTTCATACCTTATCACGCCGAAGACGTGTTAGTAATATGCTGACAGGCAAAACCAGACACTTTCATGAGAGAATGAATTATCTCACTACCAAAAACCTGAAAGGTAAAGATGTCGTTAGACATGAAGAACTCGATGCGGAGATGGAATCCTTTGAACTATATTATAATAGCGGGGTTAACTTTAATCAATCATCAAGGAAAGCCAAAGACAAGCTCATTAAAGAACTATTAAAGAAGAAAGAAGTCACGTCAGATGACACCAAAGAGTTGGAACATCGTCCTAAGAAACGCAATACAGCGTCAGTTGCTAACAATTTTTTTCATATAGATGAAGATCGTCACAAACGGAATCGTCCGTCCGAAGTTTCAGTCGATACTACTGCAGTTGCAGGTCCTTCACGGATTAAGTTTTAGTTTTTTTTACGGTTATTTTAACCAAATTTTTTTTTTTTTTACAAGTAGATTTTTCTACATCTTTTTAGTTTCTTTTTATATGTAGTACTATTATGTACCAATTACGTTTACTTTTTATACACCCAAACAATTTAGAATAGTGTGAACCATTCCACCTATGACAGTATTTACAGGTGGCGACCCTATGGGTTGAAAGAAAAATACGGATCATTTTATGATTGTTTTGCTATTTATAATGTGTAGATTGCCACAACTTCTTAATATTTTGTTAGTGTCCTTTATCATTTTCTTTCTTTCGGTTCATTGGTTCCTTTCTGGTAGGGGAGGGGATCATCCTGGTTCGTTGGATTTAAAGAAGTTCGGGTCCGTCCTCGGGGGGATGATAGCTAGAAGTAGGATAGCACGGTTACGTATATGTCCTGTTAATAGTCTGTCCGTCTTCACATAAAATAAATAAATAAATAAATACGATCTCAAAGTTTAGCTTAGAGCATCGCTAACCTGTACCCTGATATAGCCTATTACCTACAGATTCTTGACCTGTACCCCTCAGAATTGGTCCACACGATACTTTAAACAAAGAAAAAATTATTTTTTTATTTATTCACTTAAGAAAATTTTTTTAAATACAACCATTCTTATCTAATAAATCAGATTTCCCCAAACTATCCCCTTATAACTAAGAACAGGCCGAATTATTTTTAATAAAGAATAAAGTAATATATTAAAAATTATTTTCTTCTTGTTTCATAATAGTGAATTTCACAAAATAACTTGCGATCTTCTTGTGTAGGGTTACCTGTTATAAAAATTAAATTTGTTAATTCAATTTATTTTAATTATTTAACGATTTTTCCCATTTTGTTTTGCGATTTTATTTAATAAAAGGCGAATTCTTTATGGAAGAGAATAGCGAATAAAAAGGACTTTTGCTACCAATTAAATTTAGCATTAGTATTTGTATTTTTTATATATTTAATTTTTCTCAAAAAAAGTAACAAACCTGAAGAAGAAGGTGGCATATCAATAAATTATCTTCTTTACCTAAATTGTTTTTTTTTTAATTAATATATAAATAGTAAAATATTTGAATGTAACAAATTTATTGGATCGTTTTCTTTTACTGATTAACAAATAAAATTTGGAATTTTTTTTTAAAAAAAGTTGTATTTTCCTTTTCTTCTTCATTATCCTGAGATGTATTTTATTGACGAGATGTTAATATGTTAATGCAGTCCTTTTAGAAGGCCTAGTAGTTTCAATCCCATTTTTTGATTCTTTTTTTTTTGAAACGTATCCTTGATTATCAATTAAAAATAAAAATTGTTAAAATATTTATTTGAAACAAATCATACCTTTTGGTTTTATTGTTTCTGGATTTTTAATTTTTCGAGTTTGTGAATTTTTTTGAATTTCCCTAAAGCATAAAGGTCTTTTATTGAATTATCGAGTAAAATGTAAAAATTCTTTGCTGTTTCAGCCACTATCTGCTTAACCTTATAAGAAAAGTAGTAGTGGCTGTGTTAGATTAAAGATAGATAATCATAAAAATAACGCAGTAGTCTACTCACTTTTATAACGTTATAAGAAAATTCGTTAACGTGATATGAAAATCTGGTATAACGGGGGAAATTTTGTAATACTTGTATTAATGTATTATGGATAACGCATGTCACACAAAATATCAATCATTTATGAATTATGATAAGGGCCGACATATATTACGTAATATTTTAGGGGGCCAGGGACGATGATTTTCTGTGTTTCCCAGAATTTCACATAATTTTCGCGATATGCAATCATCATAATGCTGGCCGACATTAAGTTTGGCCAAATTTTGTGAATCGATGTTCGACCTTGCATAATTCTGGCCAAATCACAGAATTTCACATAATTAACTTTCATCACACACAGAATTCATCTTTGAAGCAAAACGATAGAAAATTTATGAAAATAAAATTTTAAGAATGTGAATTTGAACGTACTTAAAAAAAAAATTTTTTTTAATAAATCCTTTTTTTATTCTGTAATACCCGTTTTTTTTAATAAGATTTTCATAAAGGGAAATGGTCTACATACATGTGATCAGGATATCTTACCTGGGGTGCTATAATAAGACGATATTACGTAATATATGTCACATAAAATAAATAAATAAATTACGTAATATATGTATTATACGATAACGCTGATCCAACTAGTGTTTTCCAGCCGTCCCCTTTATGTCAATTAAAATGTAAATTTTTTTTTTTTTTTTAGCTTTTTGACATCGTTTTTAAATTTAAATTTATATTTATATGTTCTACTATAATGAAAAACATTGTATACATAAATTAAAACTATATATCCTAGATTATCTTTGGAGTGAAAACCTTAGGTGGATTTTAAAGTTAAAAAATCACTTTTTAAATATCATGTCGTGTAACACTAGAGAAGTTAAATTTTCAATGAAAAATTCTTTCTCGAAATTTCTCTTAGGTTTATTGAATATAATAATAGAATTTCAAAAAAAAATAATAATGCTATTATTTTATTATTTTATAATAAAAATAAAAATAAAAATAAAAAATGCGAAAATACATTTGTTATAAAAATTTAACTATATTACTTTAATAAATTAAACATGTTATTGATTCAATATTAATGTTTAGCACGTAGTACACTTATAACTTATTAGTCAAAATCATTTCTAAGAAAAATGCACATTGAAATAATTATGGAACATAACGAAATAGTCCCCACACACATATTTTGCACGATATTTCACTATCTTCATTATCGCGATGACAGCCGTGATAGACTGTTGATGAGATCATGACCATTGTTCCAGATGGTGGAAGGTTGCGAGGATTATAAGGTATTTGCATGGTATGTGGATTGCTTCCAACATACGTACTCTTTGTACCATTAAACATATCACTACCATAACCGTTCATGAAGATAGGATCAACGACGTATATATAATAGGCATGTTCTAAACTGAAATCATTCGGAGGGGAAATTTTGAAACTATCGATGGCCTGGACAGGATCTGGTCCTTGGAAGGTGGTGGTAATAACTGGCAAATTGTTAGAATCAAAACTCCATTGAGCATTTGTAAGCTTAGCAGAAGTATCGTTGTTACAATCATAGGTTACTTGTAGAGCGGAAGCTACGTTAAACATAAGAGATAAGGATATTACGAAAACAAAGTATTTATTTGACTTCATCATCTTTATGTTATTATTGGGTTTATTAGGTTATAAAAATATGGGCTTACAATTATACATTTATTTATATATTTTTTTTTAAGACCGATCATTAAAAATCGATCAACTTCGTAAAATTCTTTCTTAATAATTTAAAATAATGAATACTTTTCACCTTCCACTATCATCGTTTCAAAGAACATGTGAAATATGAAAAATGATTTACAGTTTAGCTTAAGAAAGAATGAGTTTTGAAAACTCTCTTATTAAATTTCATGCAAAAAAAAAACTCTTGGCAGGAGCATGTTTGAATATGTTCATGCATTTTCGAAAAAAGGCGAGTCCTTTTCATTATCGGATATACTTTTTCTCTATCTTCATTTTAAAATATGTGAACATGTGAAATATGAAACAAAAGATTTTGTGAAACTTGTGATTTTTAGATTTTTAGAGTAAAAAAGAATGATTTTTGAAAACTCTTTTTTACTTTTAAAATAAGAATTTTTAAATAAATTCTTTTTAAAATATACCATACTGGTTTTTAATTTTAAAATATACTTTCTTCCATTAGTTCCATACTGGATCGTTAATTAGAGGTCCGAAAAGGAAAAAGCAATAACCGAAAAGACCGAAAAGAATTACGGAACGATTTCCCGACATTCATTTTCCTTGCGACGTAACTTTTTCAGACAAATCCCGAATGGACATTTTCCCGAATAATATATTTTCCCGACATGACATTATCCCGACGATAAATATCCCGAAGACAAAATCATGACATTTTCCCGAAATCAAATTACGAAAAATGATTCACAAAAATACTTGATTTAACTGCAAAAAAAAAAAATAAAAATAAAAATGAATTTTTATTTTATTTTATTATATTTATTTAATTTACTTTTTGCGTAATACTTTCTTAATTTTTTTATTAAAGTCAATTTTATCACGTATTTTATCTTAATTGAAACAATTGTTTTTTTTTTAAACACAATTACGATTTCACATATTAAACATATTAAACTAAAATTATGTAATTTATTTTTATTTTTATTAGTTTATACCTTTAATAAAATTAAAATTCAATTAATAAAGCAGCTATTAACAATATTTTATTATCAATAAAACTAATTTAAAAAATTTTTAAATTTGCGGTTTATAATGTATTATTGTTAAATACTATATACCCAACCAAAGCTAACATTTTCATAAATTGAATTCAGGAAAATGTCATGTCGGGATTTTGTCTTTTTGGATATTTATCGTCGGGATAATGAATGTCGGGAAATCGGGCCGTAACCGGAATAGGTTTATGATAAAATTTTCCCAAGATTTTAACTTTTATACTGCTACGAAACTATCTAAACTTAACCTAACATCATACAAATAACTAACTAATTACACTGCGTATTTATCTAGAAATTCCGCTAACCCTACTTATCACTATCCTTACCCTTACTTGAGCTAACTTTTTCTCTCTCTTCTATACTTGTCCCATAGTTATTGCTCCGGCTTGACTCCCCATTCATTGGCGTCATCTACTTCTTTATCCGTCCAAGCCCATTTTACGCTTTCTTTGACTTACTTCGTAGGATCAGCTTTTTTATTTTTTTCTTGCGAAATATCAGGTAACCTGACGAACAAGTTTTATTAACTTCATTGAAAGCGGACACATCTATAGGTTCGAATTTCTGGATGAATTTCTCGATACGGTTTCATTTTTCTCCTATCGATCTTTTCTGGGTACAGATGTTTTGACCGGTTATTTACCTTAATTGATCGATCTCCTGACAATTTTACCATTCGAAGAAACAGAAAAAGACGTATTCGGATACTTGATCGATCAATGATCGACCTATCATTACAATACGGTACGGGATATTTAGAAAGGGTTGTTTTAAAATAAATTCTTTTTAAATAAATTCTTCCATGCCAGATCAGCTGTCATGAATTGGTTGTGATAATTTAATAGAAATTGAAAAGAAAAGCTCATTTTGTGTATAATTTTTTTTTTTCATTTTATTTTCTTTTCTTTAATTTTTGCGCGTGTGTTGCATGTGTATGATGCCCTTCGCTAACTCATTTACTTTTCATTGAGTATGATACTTAGAACTTAATTTGATATAGATTCCCATGGTTAATTTCTTGAGGATATGTATAAAATAATCTCTAATTTTGAAATTTTTGAAATGCAAAGTTAACTTCCTTACTTTAGACTCTTTGAATACCTCTGTTTATTTGCGAATTGTGACAGAAATACTATCTATTTTGTTATCTAGAACACCATCAGTCATGCGTGTCTTTACCCTTATGCTAGTTCTCACATTAACCCTGGGTTTCTTAACCACAGCAGAATCTTATGCAATTCCGAAAATTTTTAAAAACGTTCTCATGTATCAGAGACAATGGGATAAAATCGGCCCTTTTATGGAAAAACAGATTCCACAGTATGTGAAAGGTGCTGAGACATTTTCTGGCTTAAAACAATTGTACGGAAATGCCTTGAAAACTTTTAGGACAGGAATGAGCTATGGTTGGCGGTTTAAAAACATAGGTCTCGCTGATGCTCTTAGAACGTTCGATATAGCAAAAATTGAGCAAGCCGTTTTTAGAAATTTGGATAAATTGTCTACGAATGCAGTGTATAGGTTATCAGACAAAATAGATAATGCGCTTAGATACGGAGGTAAAAATATTATTTTACTATGATGTTTAGAATTTGTAATTCAAATGTACTGTGATTTAAGACTAAATTATGATTCGTTATATTCGTAGTTAGAGTTGGAGGAAAACCAGTAGGTGCGTCATCAATTTTGAATTTTACCAAAAAAATTTGCTTTTAGATATAGTTAAATAGGTATATATATATATATAATTTTTTATTTTTTCTTCTCACTCTAGAGGTTACTATAGAAATGATAGCATACGAGATGGGGGTAACAGCTCAAGTTGAAGGTGAGTGAAAACTTTTAGATATCACAGATCATATATTTCTGAAGACTATTAAATCTTTTTTTATGATTAATATGACAGGCGTATCTTCAATCTACACAGCAATAATAGGAATTTCAGAAGAAGAAGCAGTATCAGTACTCGCAGCATTTGTATTCGCGGAATGACGATCATTTTTTATCGATCATTATTTATTCTTTTTTTTCACATTACTATAATATTAACTTCAATTGGCATAATAATATGTGTTCAAATTTTACAAACAACTTAATATTTGCCTGAAATTACTTTGTACTAATTTTATTCAGATTGCATAACTTTTACTAGCATATTAAATTTTTCGGTTGTTTATTTTACTTTATATTTATTCGACAATGTGGTTTTTGCACTACTATTTATTTTTTTATATTATAAATTATTATTTATTTTTATTTTATTTTGAATGCGAATATGTACTTTTTCTTTTGTTACCGTAATATTTAATAAAGTGCAATCATTATTTTTTCACATTAAATTTTTAAGTATTAAGTACTAATATATATATTTAGTTTGTACTATACACAAGAAATATGTTTTTTACCGCAAGCAATTTTTTAAGATAATTGTTTCTTTTAAGGTAAACGCTTTTCATCATATTTATTTTACGTGAGCTCTATTTGCATGTCACCGATTCACATATATAAATCTGACCTGTTTTATGGTTTTAATATATATATATATATATATACTAGTTGTCACCCGTTGCTTCGCACCGGGGCCAATGTGTTTTTTAAATAGAAAGATTTAGTATTATAATGTAAAATACTAAGTAAATTAAAGAAGTTTTTTGTTTATAATTATGAATTTAATATGGTAACAATTAGGTAACAAAAAATATGTATTAAATTATATTTATAATATTAGAATGATATAAATAATAAATTAGTATTTTTAGAATAATTTAGCTATTTATATTGATGATTTTATGTTTGAGTGTAGAGTGAAATTCGGATTAATTAGAAATTGTGAAAAAATAATTATCAATAAAAATTGATTAATTTTTTAGAAGTATTTTTGAAAAAATTTTAATATTATGAAAATACTACAAATATTTTATTAATTAATTAATTAATTCTTATTATTTTATATTACGTCAATTTTAAACTTATAATCAACTTAGGAAAAATATTTGAACAATTAAATGTATTAGAGATCTGTTCATTTCATTTTATTATTATTCTTTTGATACTCATTTTATTCGATAAATTATTAATTTAACTAAACTATTTGAATTAAAATTATTATTCAAAAATCTGGTGATTATTTAGCTATTATCAAATCAACAATTTCTTTAATTAATTAAACTTGAAAATCAAACTATTTATCCAGCGTTCAATTTAATTGAAAATCTTAATCATCTTTCTACATGTTATTGATTTTTTTAAAAAAAATTGAAAGACGGAAAAAAAAAAATTAAAAATAAATTTGGGGGAAAGAAAAAGGATAAAGAAAGAAATCAGTTCAAAAAAAGGGAAATTTTCGAAAAAAAAGAAAACTGAAAAAAAATGTACCGAAAAAAATTCTGGTATTTTTCAAAAACAAATTTTTCGGTTTGAAAAAAAAACTAAACCGAAAGAAGAAAGGGAGAAAAATTTTTTTTAGTGTGAAAATAAAAAAACGAAAAATTTAAAAAAAAAAATTCCGATTAAGGTAAAATTTCATTAACTGAAATTGGAATGTACACGGATAAATAGATCAGGTAGAGGCATGTCCCGGGTTTTAATTATATGGCATGGGATTTCAAGTTACACAATTCAAATTATTTATGCAGAGACTAATCCAAACGTCAGACAAATTTTTTTAGTTATATAGTTTTTTTTAGTTATATAGATTTATCAAAAAATTTATTATAGATTTAATTACAAAATATCTGTATAATTAAAAACAATCTCATTAAAAAATTTTCACAAATTTATTAGTCGGAATTAATATAAAAAAAAACAATCTCACGAAAAAAAAATCTCTAAAAACAAAAAAAAGTTCAAAAAATTCTCACTAAAAAAAAAATTTCATTGACTAAAAAAAATCTCACTAAAACATCGAAAAAGCCGTAGGACATACTAGTTCTATAGTCTTGATCCAAACCAAAAAAAAAGAATAAACTATATTTTTTTGGGTTAACTAAAAATTTTGATAAATTCCGATTAAAAAAAAAAATCCCCTAAAAAAAAACCACTTGATTTAAAAACTGTTTTTGATTTATAACACGTATGACGAATCTGATGACCTTCAAAAGGTTTTCTTATTTTATTACAGTTGCATTTTTTTTATGTCTTTCTTTTTTGACCACAAAGACGCATTGTTAGTGGGTGTCAATCAAGTGGTATTCTATGGGATTGAGCTATCCAACTGATAAAACTAAAATTGCGTCCCTAATCCAAGTGTAGGCAAAGAGAAGATTCTAATGTTTCCAGCAACTAATCCAACATGGATGTTTACATCATTTTATCAAAAATTTGATTATTTTAATACTTAAAATGGCTAGAATTCATTTTCAAAAGAAATTTCGATATTTAATGCGCTGTACAACGTAAATTTAATAAAAGTTTCACAAATCTAACACAATGATATCAGATATTAAAACAATCAACTAAACAAAATTAACAATATATTATGTAAGTAAGCAATAAGATAATGAGTAAAATATTAATTAATAATTTATTCATAGATTCTTTAGATTCTTTCGAAATCGAATAATTTTTAAATCTAATAAATTGATAGAGAGACGTTTTAGATTATTTTGAGGAAATCCCTATTTTAAACTTTAATAATAATTGAAATTAAAAGTCTATAATTGCAAATTTATTAACAAATTGAATAAATGAATAAAAAATTTTATTAATCATGTGATATTTAGAAATTTTTAATCCAATTTATTTTTGTAAATTAATGTATTTAGAACATATTATTTTTTAAAAAATTTTTATCCTAAAAATTTTGAAATATTTTTTTTTCGTAAACTTTAGCAAATATCAAAGTTGTCATAATTTTTCATTTTTTTAATTATTAATAAAATTAAAGAAAGAGGAAGGAGAGATAATACGCAATTTTTTATTATCAAAAATAATTATTTTTTTGAATTCATTTCAAAAATAATAAAAAAAAATTCGGTTTAGAAAGGATCATTATTAGTACTTTCTTTTATTGATATTAAAATTTTATAAAAAACATTAGGTATTTCCAATAATAAAAAAATTAAATGGATTATGTATATGAGAAGTATATCAGTTATACCGTGCAATTAAATTTGCGATAAAGTCACTCAAAGCGACAAAGTTACATCCTCTTAAAAAGAGTTAAACCTGATTTAATCAAAAAGATAATAAAATAAATAAAATAGCTTTTTTTTACGCAGAATATTTTAATATAATAATATAATAGTTGTAATCGCTGCGCCTCATCTGTGATTTATTCGCCAAATGTATGCTCGATCAAATTTTTTCGAAATAAGGTTGATTTGTACAAAAATTTTTTGATAAATTACTTATTTAACTAGGAGCCTTTTATCCTAATTCAGAAAAATCCACTACACATTGAGATTTCCATATAGAAGAGATCTACAATTATCAGAAATCTCACTTTATATGGCTTGACAAAAGCATGATGAGTCATCATCATGTACGTGATAAAAATCATCACCTATGATAAAAATCTATGGAATGCCAGGCTGGACAGAAGTTTGACGTTGAGAGTTAACTGAAACTGTTTGACGGTCAAGATTAACTGCGAAGTTCAAATGATTTGCTGTTATCGTCAAACTATTTGACCTTACAGTCAAATTCTTTTGCCAATATCGTCAAACAGTTTAACTTTAAAATTATGTTACACAAAGTTTGCCAATAGGCAAAGTATTTAACATTAAAGTGTGAATAGTTTGCTAAGATGGGCAAAGATTTAACATTAAAGTGCAAACAGTTTGCCAATAGGCAAAGCATTTAATATTAAAGTGTGAACAGTTTTCTAAGGTAGGCAAAGCATTTAATGCTATAAAGTGCAAACAATTTGCCAAAAGGCAAAGAATTTAACATTAAAGTGCGAACAGTTTACTAAGGTGGGCAAAGCATTTAACACTAAAGTGCAAGCAGTTTACCGATAGGCAAAGTATTTAATGCTAAAGTACAAACAGTTTGCTAAGGTAGGTAAAGAATTTTGTTGAAAAAATTTTTTTTTTTAATAAAAGATTTTTTTTTTTATAAAAAATTTTATTAGAAGTTTTAATGGGATTTTTTTTGTTTTGAAAGTTTTTAACAGAAAATTTATTGATAAAATATTTTTTTTAATAGTAAAGTTTTATAATAAAAAAATTTTATAAAGATTTTTTTCTTTTAATAAGAAATTAAAGAATTTGAGGTATAAAATAAAATGTTATAATAAAATTTTGCATATACAGTCAACCCTTGTTATAACGAACCCTAGGGTCCAGACCTCAACTTCGCTATAAGACTATAGTGAAGATTTTAAGAGATTTAATTGGTTAATTCATTATAGCGAGGGGAAATTTATTATAGTTGTCTGAAAAATTCACTATATCAAGGATTCGCTATATCAAGGTTTGACTGTATAACCTTTTATATATATATTTTATTAATTTTATTTTTAATCTTTAATTTTAGATTTCGTAATTTATTTTTTTATTCAATTTTAATTTTAATATTTCTTATTTTTTAATTTTTTTAAAATGCAATTAGTTTGCTAAGATAAACAAAGCATTTATTTTTTTTTATATAGAAACTTTTATTAGAGAATTTTTTGGTAAAGAATTTTGTTGGAAAATTTTATTAGAAATATTAATGGGATTTTTTATTTGAAAAGTTTTGAAAGTTTTTTATAGAAAATTTTATTGGTAAAATATTTTTTTATTAGTAAAGTTTTATAATAAAAAATGTGTTGGTGAATTTTATTTATAAAGATTTTTTTCTTTAAAAGAATTTGAAAATAGAAATATTATAATAAAATTTTGCATATATAACCTTTTATATATTTTACTAGAGTTATTTTTGATCTTTAATTTTAGACTTTTTTAATTTTATTTTTTTTTTTATCCAATTTTTAATTTTAATATTTATTTTTTTTAATTTTTTTTAAAATGTAAATAGTTTGTTAAGATAGGCAAAGCATTTATTTTTAT